CACCATCATCTCCATCACCACCACCACCATCACCTCCATCAACATCACCACCATCACCATCACCTCCATCAACGCCACCACCACTATCACCATTACTTCCATCAGCATCACCATCATCTCCATCAACACCACCACCATCACCATCACCTCCATCATCACCACCACTATCACCATCACTTCCATCAACATCACCATCATTTCCATCAACACCACCACCCACAACCACCATCACCATGGCCTCCATCAACACCACCACCATCACCTTCATCAACATCACCACCATCACCACCACTAGCACCACCAACACTATCACCATCACCTTCATCAACACCACCACCATCACCATCACCTCCATCAACACCACCACCATCACCTTCATCAACATCACCACCATCACCACCACTAGCACCACCAACACTATCACCATTATCTCCATCACCACCACTGTCACCATCACCTCCATTACCACCACCACCATCATCTCCATCAACACCACCACCATCACCATCATCTTCATCAACACCACCACCTCTATCAACACCATTCTCACCATCACCTCCATCAGCACCATCCCCACTACCATTATTATCACTCCTGTCACAGTCCCACCGTCACTTCCATTGTGCATCATCATACTCTCATTGCCTGAACTGTTGGAGGAGCCCTCTTGGATTCTAACACAGTGTGGATGGGCAGGAGGAGAATGACATGCTTCACAGGAGCCCAGAGGTCCAGGAGCTCAGGCCTCTGCAACAGCCCTGGGCTTTCCAGACTTCAAATCTGTTATAGAGATAATCTTCCAGGCTGTGTCTGAGCCTGTCCTCTCCCTGCCACACCCACAGAGAACTGGTCCCCATCAGGTGCAGCCTTGTGGTTTCCCATCACCGGAGGCAGCTCTGGAGAAAGAACACCTAGGAGAGGTGAGGAAGGGCGGGGCAGAACTTGGCTGTACCCACAGGATTGGCCAATTTGCACTCTCTGGGCCAGCACCTGACTAGAAGATTCCTCAAAAGGACAGTGACTTCAGCCACTGCCCTGAGCCCTGCCTGTCTCAGCCAGAAGGTCCCTGAGTGGGCAGGGTGAGCCACAGGGGCCATATCTGAGGCTGTAGAAAGGTGGGTGGAAGCCCAAGGGCTCCGTGTGGGGTTGCACAATGGACAAGTTCCGGATGATCTTCCAGTTCTTGCAGTCCAACCAGGAGTCCTTCATGAATGGCATCTGTGGTATCATGGCTCTGGCCAGTGCCCAGATGTACTCGGCTTTCGACTTTAACTGCCCCTGCCTGCCGGGCTACAACGCAGCCTACAGTGCTGGCATCCTGCTGGCCCCTCCCTTGGTACTCTTCTTGCTCGGCCTGGTCATGAACAACAACATATCCATGCTGGCCGAAGAGTGGAAGCGGCCATCAGGCCACCGAGCCAAGGACCCCGCTGTGTTGCGCTACATGTTCTGCTCCATGGTGCAACGTGCCCTCATTGCTCCTGTTGTCTGGGTGGCTGTCACGCTGCTAGATGGCAAGTGCTTTCTCTGCGCCTTCTGCACAGCTGTACCTGTGGCCGCCCTGGGCAACGGCAGCCTGGCACCCAACCTAGCTGCCTCAGAGCTTGCGCGCCTACTGGCCAGGGTGCCCTGCCCTGAGATCTATGACGGTGATTGGCTGCTGGCCCGCGAGGTGGCCGTGCGCTACCTGCGCTGCATCTCCCAGGTGAGGGGGCCAGGCAGACCCCTCCAGAAGGGCTCTTTCCCCCCACATTTCAGAGCAGGGCTTCCTCAGGGTAGTCCTGTCCCCCCTCTTAGGAGGGCCTACACAGAGCAGAGAGTCTCCCCAACCCCACCTCGCCCATAGAACTCTAGCAGGACTTTTTCCTCAGACAGGAGCCACCTGTGGTTCCCCCAGGCCAGAGTTTTCTGGAGAGAAGGCCTGTCCCCTCTCCTGAGGTCCCCAGAGTCCACCCCACATCCTCCATCCTGCTGAGTACCCAGCTTGGAAGAATTTGCATCCTTTTCCTCTTCCAGGCCTAGGCAGCATGAGGAAGATGCATAGTGCAGCCATTTGGGTACATTTCCCTCGCAAATACCTCCAGCTGGAATCTCCCTGCTTGGGGAGTGGGAGCTGAAGGTCTGTATGGCCTGGAAGGGAGGGCCGGAGTGAGGGGGAAAGCCTTCATGGGAGTGCTCCAGTCCAGGTCCTCCCAAACCCACTCCCCCATGCCCTGCCCACAGGGCTCTCTCTAGTCTGAGCATCTCCAGCTCACCTCCAGACAGTGCAAGGTGGGAAGTACAACTGGGACAACATGCTTATGCAGCTGGAGGACCAGGGAAGCATGGACAGGGGCCTGGACCTATCAGGAGGGCTAGAGAAACATGACACTTTGCTTTGGCAAGTCCAGCCACCTGGCTCCCCCTCTCCAGCCCAGATCTCTCTCCCTATAGGTCTCTTTCCCATCCTCCCTTCAACCCCCGCCCCCTCCCCCTCCCCAGGCCAGATCTCTCTCCCTGCAGGTCTCTTTCCCATCCTCCCTCCAACTCCCCCTCCCTGCCCCAGGGATCAAAGGCAGACAGTACCAGGAGCCAAAGGCGAGCTACAGGCCAGCAGAAGGGTCTTTATGGTCAAGGTCAAGGAAAGCTTCTCAAAGGAAGAGGCACAGTGGCGTCATACTGGTGGCGTCATACTGTCTAGCAGTTACTGAGCACTAACTATGCACCAGGCACTGTGCTAAGGGAGTGATTACATTGACTCTGCAAAAGGGACTATCACTAGCCCTATTTTACATGGGCTTTGTTCCCGGTCAATTGGTAAGTAGTGAAAACAGGACTTGAACCCAGACAGCCTAACTCCAGGTCCTGCCCACTGAGTCCCACACCTACACACTATGATCCCCTCCCCATTTTACAGACAAGGAAATGGAGGCCAAGAGAGGAAGTCACTTACCTAGCTGATATTCTTTTCCTAAGAGCCCTGGGGGCCCGGGTCAGGCGTGGGGGCTGGAGAGCAGTGCTGACTGAGTCTCTCCTTTGCTCCGCAGGCGCTGGGCTGGTCCTTCGTGCTGCTGACCACACTGCTGGCCTTTGTGGTGCGCTCCGTGCGACCCTGCTTCACACAGGCCGCCTTCCTCAAGAGCAAGTACTGGTCCCACTATATCGACATCGAGCGCAAGCTCTTTGATGAAACGTGCACGGAGCACGCCAAGGCCTTCGCCAAGGTCTGCATTCAGCAGTTCTTTGAGGCCATGAACCAAGACCTGGAGCTGGGTCACACTCACGGGGTGCTGGCCACAAGCTCAGTTTCCCCAGTCACCACCGACGGTGCCAGGGAGGAGAGAGAGAAGCTGCGTGGCATCACTGACCAAGGCACCGTGAACAAGCTGCTCACCAGCTGGCACAAATGCAAGCCACCACTGCGGCTGGGCCAGGAGGAGCCATTGATGGGCAATGGCTGGGCTGGAGGTGGGTCCCAGATCCCACGCAAGGAGGTGGCCACCTATTTCAGCAAAGTGTGAGCCATAGTTGGCTGAAGAGGCAGGAACGAAGGTCTGAACCTACCGACTCTGGAGCAGACCCCAAACTAAATGGGGAAAGAAAGGCCATAAGTGCTGGCAGTAGGTCCCTGGAGCAGACCCACATGCCCAGATCTGCCCATTTGAGGCAGGACATTTGGATGAAAGTGCCATGACTGTCCTGGGTTGCCCTGGAACAGAAAGGCCAAGAGCAGTATTGGTCAGAAGAACTCAGAACTGGCTTTGGTGGTGTTGGGGTTACAGGGAGAGATGGTTCCTACCTGCCTAGGCCCCTTGTCAGCCCCTTCTGGAGTTGCTGGCCTTATCCCTTGTTCACCATTTCCAGCATCCACTCTTGTCTGTGACTTTTTAGAAGCCTGCCCCCTTGTGCTTAGGGCTCAGGGAGTGGTGCTTCCAGCACTTGCGTAATATGGTGGTGGTGGTGGTAATGTGCCATGAAATCATTTCCAACTCATAGCGACCCTGTACAGGGTTTCCGAGGCTATAAACCTTTACAGGAGCAGAAAGCCTCATCTTTTGTCCGAAGAACAGCGGGTAGTTTCGAACTGCTGACCTTGTGGTTCACAGACCAATTTGTAACCACTATACTACCAGAGCTCCTTTTGCATAATATAGGGACTCTGGTTTTGACCAGAGCCCTGAGTGAAGCTGAGTAGGTTAGATCAGAGGTGGTCTATAAGGGCATGGCATATAGCCTCACCTGGTGTGAATATCTGGAGTGACAGGTGCTAGGACAAGATGCTGGAGGCCAGATCCATCTGGGAGAAGACAGACTATGTGCTCATCATGGAGGTCACTCAACGAATGTGGAGATGACTGAACATTTACTTGTAAGGAAAGGAGAGGGGCCTTTAAAGAACCATCTTCATGTTCCCTCACTTCAGGCAGCTGTCACAGGGGTGAATCAGGCCACTCCTGGGCTTGAACAGCCAGAAACAGAAGCTGATACCTCCTCATTTTCTCAAAAACCACCTTCCCCTTGAAGTAGGGATGTGGCTGGGGGTACTGGAGGAGAGCTGTCTAGAGTGGAAATGGCACAGGTTACCAAGAGAGACAGAACAAAGCTAAATGCGAGTGCTATCACTTACAAACTGTGTCCCTGGGCCAATGTTTCATTTTCTGTGCCTCAGTTTCCTCATCTGTGAAATGGGGATGAGAATGCCTACCTCATTGAGTTGTTGTGAGCATTAAATGAGTAAAGTGTGGCACATTGGAAATACTGAACATGGTGGCTAATGGGTTTATTGGTTTCTGGAGCTGAGGGCATCCCCTCTCCCTGGGGCAGAGGAGGAGACTGCACCAATGGAAGCAACTTGAGCCTTCTCTATCCATGAAGAGGAATTGAAGGCCAGACAGATTTTTTGTGTCCTCTCCTTTGGATATCTTTGAGACATAAGTTCTACCTATCAAGTCATTCCTTGTTCTTGCTCTCTACAACATTGTTTTAATCACTTGGGAGGAGGGAGATCTCTGTAGGTAGGCAGGGCGGGCTCCCACAGGAGATGGGACTTGCTGTGGATCCATAAGGGGAAGTGGTGAGCCAGTGTTGGTTGGGGTGGGTTGGGGCGAAAATGGGAAGTACAGGTGTGAAAGAAAGAGCAAAGCTTTAGGTCAGGCTGGCTTGGGTTCAAATGTTAGAGTTGTTAGGGTCTAAGGCAGAGTCCTGGTGTGGTGATGTAGGATAAGCAATGGATCAGTCAGTGTGAATCACAAGGTCAGTGGTTCAAACTCACCAGTTGCTCCTGGAAAACTGTACATAGGGGTCGCTATGCATTGAAACCGACTCCACAGCACTTAGCAATAGCTACAAGTCCTAAAGCAAATCATCTAACTCATCTTAATCTGTTTGTCTATCTGTAAAATGGAAATTAAAACACTTGCTTTTCAGGATTATAGTGAAGATTGTTGTTATAAAATGCCCTTGAGTCAGCTCCAACTCAAAGCAACCCTGTATAAGGTTTCTGAGGTGGGTTTGAACCGCCAACCTTGTTTGCAGTCCATTGCTTATCCTATAGCGCCACAACAGGAGTTCATCCTGAAGACAGAGGGAGGTAACTTTTGGGGAAGGATATGAAGTGGCAACGAGCTGGGGGAGGTTCGTGTCACCTGATCCTGGGGGTCATCTAACTCCTCTTTAGCCTCACTGGCACGCTCCCACGGACAGGCTGGGCAGTTCTGATGGTTACAAAGGGCTTCAGAGACCTTCCTTGTAATTTCCACTTAGCCGTCAGAGCTCCTTTGCCTCCGAGACTCTCTGGACTCCTGAATTCACTTGTCAGTCCTCCGCAGGTCTGTAGAGCACCCACCAGGAGCAAACACTGACAAGGTGGCTAGGAGGGAAAAGGCTGGCGAGTCCCCAACCTCGAGTGCCCTGCTGGGAGTAATTATCTGTCTGGTGGAATCTCTCTCCTGACGCCGCTGGAGTCTCCTTCTAAAAGCTTCTGTCTGGTCGGGGTCAGACTTGGGGATGCTCTTGAAACAGACTCGAAGGCAGGTCTGGATTCTGCACTCTGCTATGTCCTCCGGTCCCCAATTTGGGAGCTCGGCAGGCCTGGTGAGAGCAGGGTCCTGGGCGGAAGGTCAGCCTCGCTCTGCGGGGCGGAGGGAAGGGGCGCGCAGGCCCTGCGGGCGGTGGGACAGGGGGCGCTGCCCGCCAGCTCCCGCACTTCCTCACTGGCTGCTGCCGCCGCCGCCTCCGCCCAGCGCTCTGAGGCTGTTGTTCCACTCGCTGCCGCCGCCGTTCCAGCCCAGTTTCCTTTTTTCTTTCCCGGAGTTCAACTTTTATGAAGACTCTACCAGCCCTGGACCTGCTGGTCCCCAACGAATTTTTGTGCTGGAAGCGGAGGGAAGACAAGCAGGAGGAGCCGCGACGGCACGAGATCGGGCAGGGCCCGCGGGCGGTAAAACCTGCCGTGACGGGCCAAAGGTGCTCGCAGCAGGCCCAGGTAAGAAAGCGTCCCTTCTGGGTCAGCCACGTACGCGGGGAGCAAAACGGAGATGGGACCAAGCTGAAATGAATTACTCCGAGGAGAGAGGCCCGAGCTGAGGCTCCACTCGGGACTGGGTCTTCCTGAACCGGAGGAGGTCCCACTCCAGACGTCTGCCGCTCTGTGGGGCAGGGACAGTAGTCTCAGATGCCGACCTAGGCCATCCTTGGACCACCACCAACTCCTATGCAGGCATTTGCACCAACCTGGGGGGAGGAGGGCTGTAAATCCCTGGTGGGTTTGTGAATTCCGGAAATGAAGATGAGGTTGCATTTAATGCTTTTATTCCCAACAAAACTACAAAATTCCCTTTTCCAGGAAGCAAGACTGGGGTCTTGGATCCCGAGTTGGGGGAAGAGGCAGACCCCATCGCTCCCTCCTGGTGCCCTGTGTGACCATGTGGCTCTCCCCAGGTCCATCCTAGAAGCCCAGAGATGGGGCACAGAAGGGAATATGGACAAGGTCCTACTGTTGCTTGCAGCCTGCCCCAGCCTTCCTCTCCCCGATTTCCCTTGGCCTGGGGACCTTTGTTTTTCATACTTGAGATGGGAAGACTCGGGGCCACACCCAGGGCTGTCTCGGGCTGTATGGGTGGAGCCTGGGAGGAGGACCTCTTTGGAGCCTGAGTCCATGACCACTTCCTAGTGGGTGGCCAGCACCACTCCAGCCCTAAGGCAGAAAAGGGTGCAGCTGAGCCAGTCTGCTGGGGAAGAGGAAACACTCCCACAGTGGCTTGCCATGCTTCTGTGGGCAGGCTGGCCGTGGTCAGGAGAAGACAGAGAAAATGGAGGGTTCACTCAGTCCAAGCTCACCCTTTCAGAGTTACAAGTCTCCATAGATTCTGGTCAGAAGTCCTGCCCAGGCACCAGCGTATTTAAATGGCCTCATTCAAGGCACTTACTGTCTTCAGGCTCAGTTTCCTGATGTTTGCAGGAAGAAGAATCACCCTTCACCCCACCAGTGTCACCTCTGGTAGCCACTGTGAAGATTGAGAGAAACGAAAGAGGTGAGGTGTTTCACCCACAGGGGAATCATCAGGCAAGGCCCAGAATGTTTTCTCCTCTTTTCACAAATGAGGAAACTGAGGGCCAGATAAGGCATCATGTATATTGAAAGCCAGAATCTTCTTAGCTAGTTTAGAGCCTGAAGTTTCCAAAGTGAAGCAAAAGGTTCTTATGAATTCCAGGATGCTAATATCTTGTGTCAGGCTTACTGTTGAGTGGAGGCCCCTAACTCTGCCCCATCCCATGTCACAGGGTTAAGTCCAAGTCCCTTATCCCCCAGGACACCCACTCCAACTTCTACACCCACAGGGCTAGAGCTCCTGAAGATACACACACCCAAATATTCCCAGGTGTCCCTCAGCACATTAGTACTGTTTGGAACACCAAAGAGAAAGCTTGCCAACATCCCATATTCAACAACAACATAGGGCCAGTCCTAACACCTACCTGTAGAGAAGTTTGTGGTGGCTGGGCTTGAATTCCAACTCTGTCACTTGTATACAATGGGGACAGAAGTACAGTCGTATCACAGGGGTTCTGAAGATAAGCAAGCAACGTTGTTGTTGCTAGCTGCCATCAGCTCAGTTCTGACTCAAGGTAACCCCATGTACAAACTAAAATGTTACCTGATCCCATACCTCTTAACCATCATAAACTCAAGGCCACTGTTGCACCCACTGTGAATTTTGAGTACCTTCTAACTACAGGACCCATCTTTCAGCACTGTATCAGATAATATTTTGTTGTGATCCATACATAGGGTTTTCATTGGCTAGCTTTCTACGATTAGGCCTTTCTTCCTGATCTTAGTAGGTCCTCAGTGGGTGACCTTGCTGGTATTTAAAATACCAATGGCATAGCTTCCAGCATCACAGCACCATGCGACACACCACAGTAGAGCAGACAAATGGACGGTGGCAACCAACACTAAACCCACTGTTGTCAATTCCAACTCTGACCCTGTAAGGATAAGCTAGAACTGCCCATGGTGTTTCCAAGTCTGTAAATCTTTACGGAAGCAGACTGCCACATCTTTCTCCCAGAGCCGCTGGTGGGTTTAACAGCCAACCTTTGAATAAGCACTACTGACCAAGTGCCAAGGGTTTATCCACTGCACCATCACGATTCCTTCAAGGAATAGTTGTTGTTAGGTCCCATCTAGGTGGTTCGTATGCCCAACAGAAGGAAACACTGCCTGGTCCTGTGCCATCCTCACAGTTGTTATATTTGAGCCCAATGTTGCTGCCATCGTGTTAGCCCATCTTACTATGGGTCTTCCTCTTTTTCACTGACCAAACATGATGTTCCTTCTCAATGAACAGCTGTTGTTAAGTGCTGTCTAGTCGGGTCCAACTCGTAGCAACCCTTCATAGGGTTTCTGAGGAGTGGCTGGTAAGTTTGAACCATCAACCTTGCAATCCAGTGCTTATCCTAAGATGCCATACCATGACTCCTAATGAACAAATGTTAAGTGCCATCGAGTCAATTCCGACCCATAGTGACCCTGTATAGGGTTTCCGAGGAGAAGCTGGTGAGCTTGAACCACCCATCTTGCAGTTCAAATGGCTTTGCAGTCTGGCGCATTAACAGCGCCACACCAGGACTCCGTAGTGAGCATTATTTCTCCCAAGTGAATGGGCCCACCCACCCAAAGTTTCTCACTAGCCTGACCACACAAGTATCCTCCTCAGTCTCCATTTTCAATGGCAAAACATTTATCATAAGGCATCTGTTGTTCCACAGGAAGCACCAGGCCAGCTGCTGTAGGCAACAAAATTGCAAGACTGTGTGCTGCCTTCCGGTATCCAACAGCCTGTGACCTTCCTAGTCCCACCAGGAAGCCTCCGTCCTGGTCTCCTGCCTCCATCTCCAACCTTCACCATGGCAGCTCTGATTGCAGAGAACTTCCGCTTCTTGTCACTCTTCTTCAAGAGCAAGGATGTGATGATTTTCAACGGGCTGGTGGCATTGGGAACGGTGGGCAGCCAGGAGCTGTTCAGTGTGGTGGCCTTCCACTGCCCCTGTTCGCCGGCCCGAAACTACCTGTATGGACTGGCAGCCATTGGTGTGCCTGCCCTGGCGCTTTTTCTCATCAGCATCATCCTTAACAACCACACTTGGAACCTAGTTGCTGAGTGCCAGTACCGGAGGGCCAAGAACTGCTCAGCAGCCCCCATCTTCCTGCTCCTGAGCTCCATCCTAGGCCGTGCTGCCGTGGCCCCCGTTACCTGGTCTGTCATCTCCCTACTGCGTGGAGAGGCTTACATCTGTGCCCTCAGTGAGTTTGTGGACCCCGCCTCACTGACAGACCGGCAAGAGGACTTCCCCCCAGCCCATGCCACTGAAATCCTGGCCAGATTCCCCTGTGGGGAGGGCCCTACCAACATGTCACATTTCCGGGAGGAGGTGAGCCGCAGGCTCAGGTACGAGTCCCAGGTAAGGAACTATATGCAGGGACACTCCTCTTCCCCCTTCTCTATGTGGTGGTTTATGTTAAGTGCCACCAAGTGGGTTCCGACTCATAGCAACCTTGTATAGGGCTTCTGAGGAATGGCTGGTGAGCTTGAACCGCTGATCTTGCAGTTCAGACTGAACTTGTGATCAAGTGCCTTAACCTACAGTGCCACAGCAAAACTACTCTATGTGGTGGTTGGAAGGGAAACGCTGGGTGGCTTGGTGTTAAAACTGGAGCTGGATCCTCAGGGTCGGTTAAGCAATACATGATCAGTGGCAGTTTATCAGCTGGTTAATCCACAGAATGCTTAGCAGGGGCAAGGGTCAATCCCAGTCCCAAGTATATCTATAGTTTTAAACATTAAAGGAGCATTCTCAGGCTCACACTGAACCATAATCCCAGTCACAGATGAACTCCTTCACCTCAGCCCTGACCCCTGCAAGCCACCTAAGAAACATTTGCTGCCAGCCATGGGTTGATATTGGAATGTGGTAGGCCCTGGCTTCTGGGCCCAGCGTGATACTGCTGTCACAGCAAGGGCCCAGCCCCAACACTGAGTCAGCCTCTTGTTACTGACAGAAGGGGTTGCCTTGGGCCAGGAGGTGGAGTCGTCAGGTCAGGAAGCAGCAGCTACTGCCTGATCATACCCTCCCTCCCTCCACCTCTCTGGGAGGAGCTGCTGACACCAGTAGAGGTTGTCAGAGGGGAGAGGGCATGGAAGAGAACTGGGCAGAAGCAGAAAGCCAGCTGGCAGTGTTAACTTAGTGAAGCAGAGGGTGAGGGAGAGACAGGAAGGAGCCTAAGATTTTCCAAGCTGTCTCTTCTCTTGGGTATACAAGGAACACAAATAGACAGAGAAACAGGGTTGGAGCCAACAGCAGAGGTGGAAGATGGCTGTCAGAGGAGCAAAATCATTTGACGCTAGTCCAGTGCCACAGAGCTCTATACAATTTTGCTTGGGCCCTGTACAAGATGAACGTGATTGTCCTTGCCCTCAACAAGCTCACACCCAGGCAGCTGAGACAAGCACATGGATACATGCAAAACCAGGCAGATGAAGATGATGAGGAAATCAGGCCATTGGGGGTGCAGACTCAGGGAGGGCTAGATAGCAGCCAGAGGGTTGTCTGAATTTTGAATGGCTGAGTGGAGGACAGGGGCTGAAGGAATGGCAGAACATGGTGGAGGTAAAGTCTAAGAACAAACTGAATGAGACGCCTCTGGAGTGTAAGAGGGACAGTAACACTCACGAGAGTCTGGATGTGGCCTTAGACTCCAAATTAGCACCCAGGCACAAAGGGAGCCATGAAAAATCATACAGGATCTCCCTACCAATCCTGTGCCAGTAAAGGGGATGTTAAGAGTAAGGGTGGAAAAAGTAGAACCCCAGCATGAAGGGCCCAGCTCTCCTTACAGATGTGCAATCTCAGGCCAGGGAAGTTAGTGTCAGCAGAGTCTGACAGTTCGGTTCAGCCCATCCCTCTGACCAGCTTTCTTTCACTTCTTCTTGAGGTGGTGGGGGCCCCAGGCAGCCCCTTGCCCCCTCTTAGTCCTGCCCACTCTCTGGCCAGCTCTTTGGATGGCTGCTCATCGGTGTGGTGGCCATCCTGGTGTTCCTGACTAAGTGCTTCAAGCATTACTGCTCACCACTCAGCTACCGCCAGGAGGCTTACTGGACACAGTACCGCACCAACGAGGATCAGCTGTTCCAGCGCACAGCCGAGGTGCACTCGCGGATACTCGCTGCCAACAACGTGCGCCGCTTCTTCGGCTTCGTGGCTCTCAACAAGGATGAGGAGGAGCTGGTGGAGAAGTTTTCAGTGGAGGGTACACAGCCACGGCCTCAGTGGAACGCCATCACTGGTATCTACTTGTACCGGGAGAACCAGGGACTCCCACTCTACAGCCGCCTGCACAAGTGGGCACAGGGTCTGGCAGGCAACGGAACAGCCCCTGACATGGAGATGGTCCCGCTCGCCTCCTAAGGGGCTTGTTCCCACACCCTGCAAAGGACATTACTTAGTATCAAACTGAACCCCACTGCCCACTCATACTAGAGTGGGGTTTTAAAAAATATTAGCTTCCCAGGAAAACAGATCAGGGGAAGAGAAGTCTGACAGACAGTGGCCAGCTGGGAGAGAGGCACTTGGTCAACAGTTCTGTGGGAAGACTCTACCAGAACTGGCCCTTCAATAGTGATGATGAGGATCTTCCACTGCTGGGACTCCAAGGCTGGGAGGCCCCACCCCAGTCAGGTGACAATGAACTTACCAGTAGGCTCAGCTCCCTGTGTAGTCAATTTGTGTCCAATTGCATACGGAAACAACTTGGGCACAAAGCTGGAAAGCTGCTATCCAGCGGTGTAGGCTGTTGGCCTTATTTTGTATCTTTTTAAATTTTTGATAAAGCTTTTCTTAGTATAAAGGACAAGCTTGGTGTCCACATGTTTGACTGCCTGTGGAGGCTCTGGGCAGCACGGCCATCAGTGGGAGGGCTGCATTGGGACTCATTATCTGTCTGGGTCTGAGGAACATGGGGCTGGCGTTTCTCAGAAAGTTCAATTTGAAACATCAGAGTCTCTCTAGGGCAGACCTAATGCCTATTAACTTCTCCTCCCTCCCGTCCCTGCCCTTGGTTGATCATCTCTAGCATCCCCCTCTCAAACCTTTGACACCTCCTGTCTCTGTCCCCATCCTGCTTTCTGGCACATGACTACTCAGGCATTTCTTGTGGCAATGCTCTCTGCACTCAGGTCATTTCAGATGGTGCAAAGGAAATGTTCACTTTCCTTGAGACAAAGCCAACACTGGCATCACCCACTAGCTAGGGCTGTGTTAGCCTCCAAAAATTTTGGAAGGGAACAGAATATTACATGATCCAAGAGGGTGGTGAGGACTGTCTCTCAGGCTGCAAGGAGGTTTGGGGTGCCAGTAGACCCTATCGTCCTCCTTGCACTCAGACCTCGAGGACCAAACATGAAGCCAATCAATTCACTCTGCCCAGAAGGCTCTCCTTACAGGGCTGCAAGGAGACACAAGGGAATCATGTGACTCTGCCCAGGTCACATAGCCAGGGCCTGCTGTTGTATACAAATGCCTACCTGCCATGCTCTGTGGCAGCATGCAATATACGTTTTCTTACTAAATCCACGTGGTAAGCCATAAGGGAAGAATTTTATCCCCATTTTACAAAGGAAGAAACCACCTTGGAGAATTAAGGTAATCTGACCAACACCTGTGGTGTATCTCTCAGCCATGCAAGTTCCCCAGTTGACCCTGTCCAACCCCAGTCTCCACAAAAGGGCTCAAGGCACTAGCTCAGCTGAGGCTTAGAGAATGGCCAAACACCCCAAGATGAGATATAGGTATGGGGCTGGAGAGCAGGGGAGAGGACCTGCCCGTAGACTCTGATGTTGGACCAAGAGCCTCAGCAGTCAGCCCTCCGTCTGCCCACCAGGAAGGAGACACACTGGCCTCACAAGGCATGTCTGTCCACAACCACGGAACAGCCTCAGAAAAGGGAAGAGATTCAGTAAATAGTTCTTAGAACAAAAAGCAAGTACAAGAAATCCCAAATTCTTTTTCACCCTGACAGGATTATCAAAGGATGATGGCTAAGGGATTGGATGGGCGTTGGGGGGTGAGGGGAAAGCAGCATTTAATATAGTCCTCAGGCCCGAGATCCTCACTTGCCCAGACTCCTGTGGCTGGGCAGGGCCCCTCAGGAGTTGGCCCACAACTAGTCCTCCAGCACTGAGCTCTTGGCCTCCACGTACTCCAGGGCCTTCGCCTTCACTGCCTGTACATCCCTCTCTGTGCCGTGCTGTTTCTCATAGTCCAGGTAGCGCTTGAAGAAGAATTTCATTCTCTTGGGGGCCAGGCTCAGGTGAATGACCCGCTCAAAAATGTCCCTGCAAAGAAGGCAGAATTAGCCGCCCAGTCCCACATCACACAGTTCCTGGCTAGCACCTACACTGACACTCGCTCTAAGCCTGGGTGGGACCCTCTCAAATCTCAAAAATGTATTTTCATTACCACTATTGATTTCCAAGATGCCCCTGAAAAAAGAGGTAAAAAACCCTCATTTTCCAGATAAGCAGACTAACGATCAAAGATGTCAAGGGACGTACTTGCCTGAAGTCACACAGTGAATCAGGACAAAGTTATTGGGTTAGGGACACACAACGAGGTGTGGCTCTGGAGAAAAGTGCTGCTTTAACCCAGTGAAGCATCTTAGGGTCCTCCCAGGAGACTTGTATTCTTTCAGGACCTCAGTCTCTCCATGGCGAACACTCATGTGACATGCAGGAGACACAGAGTAAGTCTGTGAGGTTCACTATGGGAGCCAGGCAGACACAGTGCTAATTACAAGGAGGTTCCCAGGCAGGGGCTGGGCTCCTTTCCGCCCACGGTTCCAGACAGACAAGGCAGAGGCCAGCCTCTGAGACAGATCAAGAAGGTGGCCAAATGATCACCATAGGACTTGATGCATCATGTCAAAGCTGGTTTTCTAGATGAGTCACAGAACTGTAGCTTCTGGGAGCTGCTCTTGGGTCAAGTATCAGCTCTAGCAATGCCCCCCCCCGCCCCAGGGGAATGTAGCCTGCTGTCTCCTCTCGTACCGGACTTCCTTCTGGTTGCCGTATTTGATGGTCATGTCGATGTACACTGACCACACATCTGTGCGTTTTGGATAGGTGCTCAGTGTGTTCTCGAAAATGGCTTTGGCCCGCTCTGCATCCCCCAGCTGGAATTCAAGCTGGGCAAACTTGGTGATCACATCCATGTCTGCAGGGAGAAGGCAACTCAGAAACACGGACGGAGACAGATGCCCCCCCACACACACTACCACCACCAAGACACAGTGGGCTGTAGGACCAGACTTGGTGATCACATCCATGTCTGCAGGGAGAGGGCAACTCAGATACACGGACAGAGACAGATGCCCCACACATACACCACCACCACCACCACACAGTGGGCTGTAGGACCAGACTTGGCGATCACATCCATGTCTGCAGGGAGCAGGCAGCTCAGATACACGGACAGAGACAGATGCCCCACACATACAACACCACCAACAACACACAATGGGCTGTAGGACCAGACTTGGTCAGGCCCCCTGCTCTTGGTTTCCAAGTGGAATAAAGCTCAAACTGAATAGTGGGGGTGGGGGAGGGGCTAGGGTCAAAGGGCAGGACACAAATGGGCACTGACCTAAGATGCCTAGTAGACAGAGGTGTGGGGGGTGAGGGGCAACAGAATTAGTGCTATTGGGTTTTGTTCTTCCTTCCTCTGGAGCTCAGGCATTTGAGATGCAACATGTGCTCTTATGCTCATGAGCATATATAGTCAACAGAAAGAGAACTATGCCCCCAGGCTATCCTGCGGCACCACCACCTGAGGATGAGAAGACCCACCCAATCCCTAGTCCCAGATCCAAGAGCACCATCCAGGCAGCAGGCCAGACAGTGGGAGCCAGCACTTACGCTCCTTCTTAGGCAAGCACTCGAGGGCTCGCTGTAGCACGCGGTGACTGGTGCCGGCCTGGCCTCTCCGCAGAAGAAAGGAACCATACTTAATCCAGACGGCTTTCTCCAGGCGGAAACGCTTCAGCATCTGGTTGTAAAGTTCACCAGCTTCCTGTGAGAAACGACAAGATTAGCTGAGGGGAGAACTACATGGGGGCAGTGGTAAGGACAGTAACACTCACGAGAGTCTGGCTGTGGCCTCACAGACTCCAAATTAGCATCCAGGCACAGTGGGAGCCATGAAAAATCATATGGGATATCCCTACCAATCCTGTGCCAGTAAAGGGGATGTGACAATGACAAGGGGGAATGAAAGAGATGGAGGAGTCAGTGGGTCAAAATGTCACCTTCTATTCATAATGCTCCTGTCAGCAGGCCAAGGAATATACCCCAAGAGTCCACTGGCCCTTCACTGCCCAAGCCACCACATTCCTTGTCTTTACCCTTCACCCCGCCTTCCTCCAGTGAAGGGGAGGGCTTGGCCCCTGAGTGCCTCTTCCTTCAGATGCAGTCTGACTCCCAGGAAGCTCAAGGACCTCTGGTAGCTGCCCACCAGGCCTAGAACCTTACCTGGAACTTCTCGGACTTGGTGTAGATGTCAGCCAGGTGCAGAAAGACCTTGAGAGGCTCGTTGTACTGCACCGCCCGCTCGAAGACCTTGGTCAGTGATTCCTGCGAGCCAAACATGTTCTCTAGGTTCAGCAGTGCCACCCACACGTTCAGCTTCTCCTGCTCCTCTCTGGAGGGCAAGCAGTCAGTACATGAGTGCCATCCACCTGGCCCAACAAGTTCCCTCTCCCACCTAGGATGTCAACTAGAACCACTTCCTCCTCCAAGCCATCCTGAGCCTCCCCAGTCCCCACCAGTGTAGACACACACAGCAACCCACACACCAGGAGCTCCCTGGTCCCTGCCTCCATTCCTGGGGAGGAAGTCTACAACATCTCACACTAGCCTGAGCTTCGGGCTGCAAGGAGCAGGATCTTGGGTCTGATTCTCTCCCCCAAGAGAATGAAGCAAAGATCCACCATTCTCTTCAGGTAACTAACTTGACATTCTGACTGGAAAATTCAGGGTTTGTACAAAGATGATTGGAGAGTTGTTTTTCCCTAGTCTGCTTCTACTCCAAATTAAGTACCTTATTTAAGGACAGGGAGGCTTGTAAATGCTACCCTTAGCAACTTCAGGGAGAAGGACTATAAAATACACATGAGCAAAAGATCTGTTTCACAGATGGTCACACCTTTTAGAGAAAGCCTGGGAACTAGGGGCCCTGGTGGCAGCCACCCAGCCTGCTATCAGCCCACTTGGGACGAAAGGACCATAGGGGAGGCAAAGTCTAGACCTGAAGGAGATTGTCTTGAGAGCGCGTTCGGCCACAGCACGAGCCTTCTCTATCTCCGTGGCCTGCAAGTGGAAGGCCATGTACTGCAGCCACAGGATGGAGCTGTTGGGGGAGCTGAGCACAAGCCGGTCAAAGTCATCTGCTGACTCCGGCTGCCGCCCAGGGTCCATCAGGGCCTCCTCAATGCGGGACAGCTCTTTCTCCGCCTTCCGCTTCTCCAGCACCTTTTCCTTCTTACTTTTCTTCTGGAAGGGAAGACAGAAGAAAAACTGAGGAATCTGCTTTTTGGAACCGGGGGGGCTCTTACAGTAGCTGGGGATAGGCAGGGCAGTCCCTGGACTCTAGAAGGGATTGGCACCAAGGCTTCCCTACAGAAAGGACAGAGTCTCAAAAAATACAGCACCATGGCTTCATGTGGCTTCTGGTCCTCCTCGCTGTCTGAGCTCCCTTCTCGAGGTGGCAGGGCCGGCGTGAGTGAGTCTAACCCCACATCCCACATGAAGCCTGAAGACAGCTGCAGTCGGGGCGCTTCTGCTGGCTTGGGTGGCTTTTCCTGGAGGAACAAAGGTGAGTATAGCACTTGGCTCCAGCAGCCCCTGCTCCCTGGCCTGGCCCTGCCTGGAGGAGCATGGACTCCCACCTTGCCCAAGACCCTTTCTCTCCTCCCAGAGCCAGGTGAGGCAGAAACTTTTAGTAGTGATATACAAGTCTTCTTTGTAAATAAACTTACTTAGGTAACAATCAGGTATAAGCCCTCCCAACCCAAGTATTCCCGCTGCCGTCAAGTTGGTTCAACTCTTAGCGACCCTACAGGGCACAGTAGAAATACCCCATAGGGTTTCCAAGGCTGTAACTTTTACAGATGCAGATGGACACATCTTTCTCCCGTGGAGTAGCTAGTACCTTTGAACCACTGACCTTTCAGTTAGCAGCTGAGCATGTAACCACCGTGCCCACCAAGGCTTCTTGGCTCAAGTGTGACTGCTCCATTTTCCAGAGCACAATGAAGGCTCTGGAAGATTAAGCCTCTTCTTTCCTGGCCCCACCCCACTCATCTAATTCTGTTCTAGTTCAGAAACACTGACTAGAAAACTGTTACATAGCCCACCCCCCTCTATGGGTGAGCCAGGGTCCCTCTGTCCTCCAGGAACCTACGTCAGCTGAGCAAATAAACAGTCCCACCATCTCTTGTTTCCAAGGAAACAAGGTGAAAGAGGATGATGCCTAGACAGCCCAGCTCTGAGGCAGGACTGTCAAAGCCTCCCGTGCACAAAGCAGCATTTTATCCTGAGTCAGTGCTATCCTCACCTGGGGCAGCAAGGTCTTCTCTTCGATCTCCTCTTCTCCTTCCCGGTAATACACTTCCACACCACTGTCGTCCTCCTCTGACGGACCAGCTTTCTTTTGCTTCTTGTTCACGCTTTCCTGAGATGACAGAGCCACCCTTCTTGGCCAGCGCGAGGCCAGGGCCTAGCCCCCACATTCCTGTTGCTCTGACTCCATGAGGAGAACAGACAATGGCTTTCCCTTTTCAGGTGAGGACAGGTCACCCTCTGAGTGTACCTGCTTGCTCCCGCACTCCTGGCGCCCCCGCTTGCCCTGCTTCTTCACTTGTGGCTGCCGGGCCTCACGCTTCTGCTTGCTGGCCCACTTCACCTTCTCCTCCTTCTCTTTTTGGCCTCCCTTCGCTGCCTCTGTTTTCCTCTCCTCCTGCTCTAGAAGTGGCAGTTCTATGGAGGCAGGAAGCACGTCTGGCTTCCCAGTGTCTCTGGGGAGCAACGACAGTGCCACCAGGTTCTTCTTACGGTTCAGGCTAGGACAGGGAGCGAGAGAGGGTGAGGATGAGACCAGTAGAAAAGGGGGTCGGGTGTGGCTGTTACCTCCGATGGGGTCCCCTTTTGAAGGGAATGACAGTGACCTGGAGCTAGATGGCGGTGAGAGCTACAACCCTGGGATCGTGGAGCTGTGCACTTTAAGATGCTTAATTTTAGTGAATTTCCCCTGAATTTTTTTAAAAAAAAGGACAAAGGGCACACCAAGCAGTTTGGCTTTCTCCTCATCAGCACAGCATTTTGGCCCCGGCCCCTCCTGCCCTGGGGATCCACTCGCTATCCTAAGGGATGATGGTTTGGTAGAAAAATACAAGTGACAGTTGGAATGCTTCCCATCCTCCAGCCCCAATAACAGGCATCTCCAGAGAAAAGTCTCCATGTCTGCTTTTGGAGAGAGACTAAGGCAGAAGGCCTGAGCAAGGGGCTTTCATTCATCTGAACACTAGTCATCTCTACCCAAGCCATTATATTTATAGTTTACCTCCAAGAGCTCCTCTCAGGGCTCCCAGAGGAGGTCTGATTCCTGTAAGAAGGGAGGCACCGACCTTAGGATCCTGGCTGTGAGTAGCCTCCCTTCAGGGAAGTGTCTGCTGTAAAGGACTTTCGCCGACGGGCTGTACTGGGAGACACGCGAGTACCGGGCCAAACCCACCACTGAGGGACCAAGACTGAAAGGAGAGACAAGAGTCCTGCGGTCAGAAACCCAACAAGAGGACCCTTACCATGCCCAGAGACTTCACTTTCACAGACATTCAGGCACGACGACAATCTACAACAGTCAAGAGTCCCCCACATCAACAGGACACTGAGGATGCTTTAACTGGAAAAACTTATGTAGGTTTTTAAATGTTTTTTTGCTCCCCATCGTAGATAGCACCCAATGCATAAATCATATGCTGCTTTCTTAAAATCACAAGCAGAAAACAGGAAGTGTTACAGCAGGGAAGACTGTCATAGCTGGTGGTTGTGAACACAACATGGTCTCCCAGAACATTTGCAATCTTGATCCAACATGAAATCAGTGAAAATCCAAGCTGATTTCAAACTGAAATGTAACATGCCACGTTCTTTGTGCAAAAGGCCAAACAAGAAATACTTTAAAACTTTGTTAAATGTATTAAAGACTCTTGGACTTTTAAAAACTGGTGGAAACTGCAGACTTCCCCGACCTCTTGGCCCCACCTCACTCACCTGATGAGCACACCACGTGGCTCTAAGGCCTTTACGTAGCCCCGCAGGAGCTGACCCTCCTTAATGTCTTCAATGGAGTTAATCTCAGGATCTTCTATTTTGCTTTTTGTCTCTGGGTTTGTTCTAAAGGAATAAAAAAACAGCTCACACACATACTCCTAACCCCCTCTTTCCCACTCCCTCCCATCACACCTGCAATAATCATGCTTTATATGTAAGAACATGATGCTGGACCTGCCAGGAGGATGTAACTTTCTTCAAGTCCTGAAAGCCAGGGGCATGTGTGCACGCATCATATGCAGAAAAAGGGAGAGGCTGACCACGCCAGATGGGGTCAAACCCAAAGGTCTGGCCTTATAAACATGCACGTGTAATGACTGAGTAGTAAGCTGTCTATATGCCTCCACTCCAGGCCACACTCACACCCACCCCACCTGAATTCCTGGGGGCATCTCCCTCCTTTTAAATGTCTGAACCTTTTCCGGGGGAACTAACAGCCTGAGAGATCGGGTTCTCCTAGGAACCTGGATGTTCTGCAGGGTATAAAGTACAGAAGCAGAGAATAAAGAGTGGCAGTCCAGAGTCGTGCATCAGACACACAAAGCCTCCCATCAGTCTTCCAAGCAGGTCCTGCTGCCTTCCTGCCCCAACTACACAGATACCTGGACAATCTCAGGGACAAAGTCAACACAGGGTCTGCAGTGGATAGGACACAACACCTGGAATGAGAACAAGACAAAGGGGAATGCTGAAGTGGGATCATCTCTGAGGGCCTTGCCTTCCTCTCCACAAGGCTAACCAATAGTCACAAGTTAGGTTCTGGTCACAAGACCTGGGTTCTGGTTCTTTACTCTGGTGATAACCTGCTGAGGGACTCTGGACAGGTCGCTTCACCTCTCTGTGTCTCAATTTACTTCCTAGCCTGACAAGTAAAAATAACACTCCCTACTTTTTGTGCTTAAGAAAGGTTCTGGGAGAAGGACACCAAGAGGAGACATAAAAGCCCTCTGGAAGGTTCAGTCATGGACACATATTTAAGAGAAGAGGCCAGCCCTGCTTTAGGTCCTGGGAGGTATTACTGACAACACACAGTGCAGAGGACGGCTACCAGTGAAGCCTGGGCATAAAAAGGGCTTGAGGAGGGACTAGAGTTTTTATCCTTATGATGGCTTTCAAAACTTAATCTAAAATGGCAACAAATGAACCAAAGCAGCTATTTAAAAGTACATAACCTTAGATGTGGAAAGATTATCAGCAACAATATAGCTCAAAGCTTTCCCACCATATATATCTGCCCTTCATAACTGGCAGTACTGACCTTCACACTGGAAGGAGCCTTAAGGGACCATCTATCTTTAAGCAATTTATTATTCAGACTTGACAGATGAGGGAATTACAATGCAATGCTACTCACAGGTTTGGCCAGAACAAAAGGTATTTAAATAAATAATCTTGCTGAAAGCACAACCTCATTTTGGAAGCCCCAAGAGACAAAACAGAGGTGATCCTGGATTTTCACAGAACCCATTCTTTGTCTTCTCCCAGGTCCTATAAATGTTGTGCTGTTTAGCACGTGTTAAGTGTTTGAGCATTTAGGTAGATGTTTGGATGGGCTGGGCATGTGAAATGGGAAGAAGCAGTATCTCTCATTCTCTGAAGGCATCTTAGCACATTTTGTTTCTTAGAAAAATCTTTATTCTACCAAGCTGACATCTGCCTCTTCAAAACTAGTTTATCCAGGCTATAAAATGGTTTTAAAACCTTAACTGAGGTGGGTTTATTCTTGTGCATCTGAAATAGCTCATAAATAATGCCCCTTAGCTGTATAAAGTCACTGTCCTTTTATAGAGAACACCTACAGATGACCAAAAATATTAAGATGATTGCTTGAATATAAAATTGAGCAAGCAACTCCTATAAGCAAAGCAGAGAATTGTAAACAGTTAACATGAAAAATGACCAATAGAAAAATGCAAATTAAATGATAAATCAACTTCTTTCTGCCTACCCAGTAGCTAAGATAAAAAATGAATAATATCCAGTGTCAGTATGAAAAATGGACAGTCATATGTATTGTTAATGGGAATATAAATTAGAGCATTCTTTCTGGAGGGCAGTTTTAGAAAAGTGATTAAAAATTTTAATGTAAACATTCATTTCACCCATAAATTTCACTTCTAGGAACTTATTTCAGATACAATTGCCCTGACATGCAAATATATAAAGAAAGATATTAAGTTCAACATTATCATGCATCAACAGGAATTGGTTAAATATATCATGATTTAAAAAAATACAAAATGAGACACTATGTTGTTGTTGTTAAGTGCCGTCAAGTCAGTTCCAACCCACAGTGACCCTGTATAGGGTTTCCAAGGTGCAGCTGGTGAGCTTGAACCACCGAACCTGCAGTTCAACTGGCTTTGCAGTCTGACGCATTAGCCCACAGCACCACACCAGGACTCCAATGAGACACTATGGTGATGGTGGTTATGTGCTGTGGAGTCAGTTCTAACTCATAGCAACCCTGCATAGGGTTTCCAAGGCTGTAAATCTTTATGGGAGCAGAAAGTCTCATCTTTCTCCCATAGAACGGCTAGTAGTTTCGAACTGCTGACCCTGAGGTCAGCAGCCCGATTTGTAACCACTATGCTACCAGAGCTCTTTAATGACACACTAGAGAACTGTTAAAATTAAGGTTCAAAAGTAAAAGAAAGAGCAAAGCAGATTTAGATCCATATACTAGCATGGGAAAAGAAAAAGTCTTTGATAAACTGCTAAGAGAAAAGGCAAGTTGCAAAACAATATACACACACACAGAATTTATTATCAGCTAAAAAAATAGTATATGTGCGCTATGAGGCGCTCGGGTAGCATAGTGGTTAAGAGTTGGGCTGCTAACCTCAAGATCAGCAGTTTGAAACTACCAGCTATTCTGCAGGAGAAAAGATGAGGCTCTCTGCTCCTGTGAAGATTTACAGCATCAGCAATCCTATGCAGGGTTGCTGAGTTGGAATCAACTCCACGGCACACCACCACCACCACCACCACAAGAATGCTAAAGTCTGAAAAGCTAAAGACCAAAGTATGGAGTGACAGAAAATGATGGAGGAAAAAAATGGCAAATTTTCATTTTCTGTTTTTTAAAATTCCAAGCTACATATTACTTCCCTAATTTAAAAAAAAATCCCACCAGCTCCATAGATAGCTGAAGATAGAAAGAACACCTATTTTACCTGACAATCTTTTGGGGGGCAAAGTCTTCCAGGGGCGTCTCAGAGTAAGTGTCGCTCACATGAAACACACTGGCTCTTCCTAACTTCCCGAAGGGGAAGGAGACAGTCAGCCCTTCGTTGGGAGTCACCTTCGCTACTCGGCCCATGGCCACATCCCCTTTCTCAAGCTTATGAGGACCTGGTGAGAGATTGAGGAGGAACCGAAAATGAGCCAAAAGCAGCTGGAAAGCAGTCCATCCACAGGCTGAGAGCACACAGACAGTCCAGGCTGAGTGGGCCATAATAATGACCCTGAAGACCCAGACCACTGAACTGAGGAAAGAAATCCAGGGTCATGCAATGGATAACCTTTCTGAAGGACTTGAGAAAGCCAATTTATGTACCTAGAGGTGTCTCAAACAGAAGTGGAGTAACACCAGCCATAGTGCACAGTTCCAAGAGACAAATTGTTCCCAGGCAACATCAAACTAGGCTTTCTGAGGATTCGGATCCCCTTTCAACCTGGGCAACAACTGCAGCCCCTTCCCCACACCTTGGTCCCTTCCCTTCCCTGCCCAGGCATGTTTCATTACCACACCTATGAGTGACAGACACAAGAAAGATTTGGAGGAATCCTGTCCGACCACGGTGGCCTTCAGGGCCTGGCCAATCTGAAACTTCTTATCTGGGTGTTTCAGAACCTGGAAGAACAAGAAAATTCCTCTTAAGTTTGGATGAAAGGTCTGTCTGTTTACCCAAAACCACAGCATTTAAACTAGTTATTTCCATAACTAGTTTCTCCCAAACCAATACCTGAAATAAGTACACAGTTCCTTGCACCCACTGTGTATATACATGTTGTGGTCAAACGCCATCGAGTTAGTTCCAGCTCACAGTGACCCTGTACAGGGTTTCCAAAGAGCAGCTGGTGGATTTGAACCAATCTTGTGGTGAGCAGTCCAGTGCTGATTCTACAGCATCACACCAGGATCCATGAACACACATACTAGACACAAATTAAGTTTAAGTGACCCTAGGTCTCCTCTCCAGATATCAAGTACACTGACCTTGAAGCTAAGAGAGGTGAGCAGCAAGGGAATTCTCCCTCGGACATCCGGAGTAATCTCCACTTCAAGCCACTTCTTAATTATGTTGTACTAGAGAGGAGGGGGCAAAAAGGAGAAACGAAACAGGACAGGCACAAACATTTCTTTAGTTTCCTTGGCAAAAAATTATTCTTAAGACTATAGGGCTGAAATGGTCCTATCCCACATCTGCCAAGATACAAGAATCTCCCTCTATACTCACTATGGTGTCCCACTGCCACTTCTCCCAGGCTTGGCATAAGAGTTCGCTAGGAGGCCCTGGCAGGACACACACTCCTCCCAGAACAGGAGGCAAAGAAGTCAACCCCACTGACCTCACACCCAAGGGCCAACATCTTTTTTTTAAAATAGCTTTTGATTCTTCACTGCTTACACTGTCCTGTCCTGAATAAACCTCCCCAGTTTTCTAGTCCATTCAACAAAACTTTACAGGTGGCTGCTATGCACCTGGAATCACAGTGATAAATAAAAGCCAGATTCTGCCTTCAATTCAAGGAGACTGAAGTTACCAAATAAGTCAAATGAACAAGCAAATAACTAGAGCAGCAAGCAGTGTGTAGGAGGTTCACCATGCTAGGAAGATACATAAGAACTCCTGAACGGGCTCTAGGCTGAACTGTGAAGGGTGTAGGTAACTATTGCAAGGTTGAGCCCAGTCCTACCTCATCTATGATAGTTCCATACTAACTGCTTCTTCCCTTTTTGAGTGTCCCACTAAAGGTCAGAGCACACACTTTGGCACCCAGTTTTTCCTTTTGCATTGCAGCTGAGCTTCATGACAGGCAGTTGGGTACCATTTAGTTGAGTTTTAACTCATAGCAACTCCATGTGACAGAGCAGAGCTGCCCCATAGGGTGTTCTTGGCAGCAATTTTTACAAGAGCACATCACCAGCTCTTTCTCCCACGGAGCCACCAGTTGAGTTCAAAGTGCCAAGCTTCAGCTAGAACCTTACCATTTATACCATCAGAGCTCCTTTTGTGAAAGGAAAGAACCAAAAATCCAATACAATGTTTAGGTCTTGTCCTATGATACAGTGTAATGGAGCCTTGGTAGCGTAGTGGGTTACGAGTTGGGCTGCTAACGGCAAGGTCAGCAGTTTGAATCTACCAACTGCCCTGCAGGAAAAAGATGAGGTTTTCTGCTCCCATAAAGATCTACAGCCTAGGAAACACTACGTGGGGTCGCAGTGTGTCAGAACTGACTCAACCAAACACCACCACCACAATATATTTTTCTTTCTTTCTGTAAACTTAAAACAACTTAGGGGTTTAGTTTAAAATCCACAAACATGTTGCATTCGGAGTTGCTTGCTGATTGTTTCATAAGCCATAACTTCAGCAGCCCAGGGAGAGCAGAAGCCATATATCCTCCCACACACCCAATGTGGTAGCAGACCCAGACCTTCATCTCGTTTCTCCCCTTTGCTCCTGAAAGAAAGAAGTAAAAGTGTGTGCTACTTACCCTCTTCAAGTAGCAAGTCACGGTCTGGCCAGCTTTGAACTGCCTAACCTTCTCCGAGGGGCTAACAGAATGTGCGTTGAGAGCCGTGTGAGCAGCCTTCTCCAGCTCACTGTTGGAAAGAGAAAACCAACCACTGGAGAAGGCTTCTACTTTGAATCCACCTCCCCGCAAGTGGTCAGTTTTTCGGAAGATTTTGAGCAGTCTGATCTGAGGGTCTATTGATTTCAGCTTCCTCCAGGTGTCAATAATGAAGAGAGCTACACATGACTAGAAAAACAGCTCTGTAGGGTCAGCCCTGGGGTGCATCCTTCTCAGAAAACAATTCATTCCTATCTGATCCCTTCAGAATGCAGACCAACACAGTTACTTTGTTGTTATTGTTAAGCACTGTGGAGTTGGTTCCGACTCATAGTGACCCTGCACAGGATTTCCGAGGCTATAAATCTTTACAGGTGTAGAAAGCCTCATCTTTCTCCCATGGAACAGCTGGTAGTTTCGAACTGCCGATCTTGAGGTTAGCAGCCCAATTTGTAACCACTACGCTACCAGAGGTCCATCTATAAACTCTCTCAGCACAAAAGACTTAATTAATAAGCAGGATGGAGAAATGACCCCAGATAAATTGGATCCACTAAATGGAACTACTGAATTCTTCCCCACCCAGAATCCCTCATGGCACACTCCTCCCTACAGAATCCTCCAGACCACCACCTAAAATTTCACCTCAGCCTTTAGTGACCAAGTTGTAGCCCACATTGAAATAATAGTTATTTTTGGCTACATGTTTATTTAGAGAACTACTGAGTTCTAGAAAATCGGGTTGAGAAGAAATGTTTCTCTTTAGTAGATGCTGACAAACACCTGCAACCATGGATGCTTAAGCTCTGCATAAAGCCTTTACTTTAATTTTCATATTATCCCTCTAACTAGTCTTATGAGGGTAGGACAACTATCTCTATTAAAGAGAGAAGACAAACTGGACGTAGAGTTGAAGTAAGTTGCAATACTGGCCAAATAAAGAGTAAAGCAGAAGTTTCCTGACTCCAAGGCCCAGTATGAGACCATACTACTGGAGCTGTCCTCACCTTGGTCGAACACTCAGCTCTGGGATGGTTCGGATAAATCTGGGGTGACTTATTGGAAGAAACCTAGAGAAACAAATAAGATCAAATTATTTTTCTTATTCTCAATAACACTGTAATGGGGAGATAAAGATTTCTCTCTTCTCTACCCCAAGCCAACCTTACTAAAGAAAAGCATCACACTGCCACCCACTGGCTGAGAGACGTGTTGGTGGGTTTCCATTCTCATCCTTTGCAGTAAGCATTAAGAAGATGGTTCAACTCATCTTTTAGGAATATCATTTTAGACCCTGGAAAGAATGTTCCTAACAGATTACATCTTCCAATGCTTTCATTTTAAAGATGAGGAAATGAGACTGAAGATTACATTCAGTGACTGAAAGGAATATGCAACCTATTTGCTAGACTCTGAATTCTTCATTTTTTCCCTTGCTATATGAAGAATTTCCCCTACCATGATTCAAGTTGTAAGTAGATGTGACGTGAGCATGAGCGCACAGTTGAGAATGGATTGCAGTACCTGCTGGTGTGTATTAAGCAGCAGCAGGTACCAGACGACAGGAGAGGCACATTACATGGTACACATTCTCTTTCACTCTTTACAAGGACCCTACAGGGCAGTCACTACTACTATTCTCACGTTACAAATTAGGAAATTTAAAACTCAGAGAGTTAACTATTAGCACACGATCACATAATTTTAAGTGACAAATGTGAAATTCAAACCCAGTTTTGACTCTTAATGACTACATTCTACCTTTTAAAAGAATCATAAAGGAATATTTTTAGGTAAATGCCTGTTGTTGAAGAACAAAACTTACAGGCAATTTTTTGGAATCTGCCTATGTTCCCATTCCTCCTCCCACAATTACAATTTCCCCCTAAAGCCTGAGTCTAACCAACTCCCACAGCCCATCCCTCCAAGGCCTCCATACTTGAATGTCTTCACATCTCGCCCGCCAATCACCCGGGCAGTGATGGTCTTCCCAACTTTCAGCTTGCTAGTAGGAGATATGCCCTCTGGAACATCATCCAGAATGTGGGAGGCATGGATACAGCCAATGACACCATCTTCCAGGGTCACAACCACATGAGTGGCCTTAATGGATTTGATCGTTCCTGTGACCAGGTCCCCAATGGATAGGGTGTGCTTCTTTATAGCCCCAACGACCAGGGCTGGATCCGTTTCCTCATCTTCATCCACTGTCTCAGATTCCTTCCGGGTCTGTCTCATGGTCCTCTTAGCAGCTGGCCCCTCGACAGCCAGAAGCAGACCAGTCACTCCGGGTTGTGTCGTCTTGAGGGTTAGGGAGACACCCTGTCCCACCTGTAACTTCTCTGAATCAAAGTGGAATGTGTCATTGAGGTGAGAGGTCAGAGAGAAAACTGCCAGGTGCCCAGTCTCTACCAAGGAGGCAATGGCAAAGGACTCCTCCAAGTGCTGCACAGTCGCCAGGTGCTCGCTGCCTTTCTTCAACTGGAAAGCAGAGAAGACCCATCAATCCCACTTCCTTACAGAGCACGGTCACTCATTCGTGACCCCACTGGGCTGGGTTGGCCTGGGGGACCTAGGGCACCCCTCTGTCTGAGGGACCCAAAGCTTGTCTGAGCTGTACTAAGTAGTCTTCACTCCCTAGTTAGACCCAGCTCTCCTCTTCTGTAAACTGAAGTAGCCTGACTAAACTCACAGCACCACACCAAAAGCACTGGAAGTTAGTTTTGAACTCAAATTCCTTGGAAACCCTACAGAGCAGGGGTGGGAAACGTTGTTTTTCTGCCAAAATTTACAACATCATTTGTGGGTCACACAAAATTATCAACTTAAAAATTAGCGTGCTTTATTTGGTCAAACAATTAACTCACCCCTAATGTGATGGCTGGAACCACCGTTGCCTTGGCAGGGCTGGACGTTCCACACTCCTGCTCCACAGGGTCGCTATGAATTGGAACTGACTAGCCAGCACTTACTAACAACAACACTGTAGTACTAGGAAACTAGCACTCAGAGGAATTTCGATGGTTCAGAAACCCAGATTTCTAACAGCTCCACAGCTCTGAGTGCCCGCAATTTCCTGATTCCCTTACGGCTGCTGCTCTCTACCCAATTTACTGACTCCTTGTCACTCTTAAAACCAGAAGCAAAAGATTAGTTCTTTACAATTCTCTGTATTACACATTATGCAATTCCTTAATAAGTGCTTTAGATGATAACCAAATACCAGAGAAAAACACTACTGGCTTTGACATTACCCTCAAACCCATTCTTTTTTTTTTAATTTTGAATTGAGTGACGGTTTGCTAACAAGATCATCAGTTTTACATTTAATAAATCATAAACTTTGTTCCATGTTAGCGATTACAATCCACATCCTGCTTCTTCCCTGTGGCTCCTGTTTGCATTCTACCCACCTTCCCACCCCTTCTCAATTTTGTCCTTAGACATACTGAATATCAAAAGCAGAAGGCAATTCTTCTGCTTTTGAATAACTGGACCATTCCAAGGTGAGCACACCTTGCTAGTGTTGTTGTTCCTCCATAAAACTGGGCCACGAGGGTGAGCTCCTTTCTAGACCTGAAGAGTGCTTGAGGGCCAGAGTCTCAGGTTCCTCTAGTCTGACCAGTAAGCCCAGACTTTTTTTTTTTAACTAGTTTTGAGTTTTGTCTCACATTTTCTCCCACTCTATCCAGGATCCTCTAATATAATCCCTTTCAGGACAGCTGGAGGTGGCAGTTGGGCACAGTCTGGTTCTTCTGGTCTTAGAGTCACTGAGACAAATGTTCGCATGTTTCATTAGTCCACTGGACTGATTCAAGCCTCTTCAGTTCTTATCAACTCTTCTTTCTTCCGCACAAGGAGAAACCAATAGCTGCACCTTAGACTGATGCTCTGGTAACATAGTGGTTATGTGTCAGGCTGCCAACCTCAAGGTCAGCAGTTTGAAACTACCAGCGGTTCCATGGGAGATAGATGAGGTGTTCTGCTCCCGTAAAGATTTACAGCCTCAGAAACCCTGTGCAAGGTCACTATGAGTCAGAACGACTCCATGGTACTTAACAACAGACGGATGCTCACGAGCTTTCAAAATCCCAGACGCTACTCAACCACAAAGGAGTAGAACATTGTCTTTGTGGCCTATGTTATGCCAATTAACCCTGGTGTTCCAGAGACTATGGTCTTGAGTCCCCAGGACCATCAACTCAGTGCCTTAAGATGTTCAACAATATCTTGGAAGTTAACCCCACTCTAAATGTGTGCAGAACACAAGACAGGAGAGAATGTGAATGAACAGCATGGAAGCCAGAACTATCTACAAATAGGCTTGGTTTATTCAGTGTTTTTTTTTAAAAACAAATTAGTTTCCTGTTTTGGTATATGTGTATTTTCATCAACAACAGTTTGTGGAGTCCTGGTGTGGAGCTATAGTATAAGCACGGAACTTGTAACTGCAAGGTTGGTGGTTCAAAGCCACCAGAGGTTCTTTGGTTAAATTATAAGAAAGAAGGCACTTAGTTTCCTGTGCTTATAAATCACAATATATAAATTAATAAATTCTGCCTTCTCTCAAAAAGCAGACTTGGCAACACTCCACCCAGATATTCCTGTCTGACAATATCCAGATGATAGTCTCTGTGCCCTTGGACAGGGTATAGATTCTCCAGCTTCTTCTCATAGTCCTATTATTCCCACCCCCTAACTCATCTGCCTGCCTCGCCACTTTACAACACTTGATTCCTAAAGAGACAGTGACCGTATCCTTTATCATCTTGTACCAGAACACAAGGCAACGCTATTAACAATCACACCATAAACTGGGCCTGTCTTGGACAAACCCAGGCATATGGTCACACTACTTGCAGGCATTTGAGCTGAACTCATGGTGTTGAATGGGGTGTAATGTGGAAACAGGGAAATGAAAGACTGTAAGTCATTAGGAAACTTACCTTGGTAAGTTTTCTGTTCACCAAATCCTGGCACAGAGAAACATGTACTTCCAACTTTAACATATCAACATGTAAGACTACAGCCTTCTTTTTCTGTCCAGATTCCACCTCTTGGCCTGCAGCACAAAACAAACACAGCATTACCACCCTCTTAGGACAGGGTGAGGGGAGACAGCACTTCTCCTGGGGACAGAGGGTACTTCTAGGAGCCCTGCAAGACCTTAGTGTTTTCCAAGAAAGGAAAGAGAGTTCTGGGTCTATGTGGGACACTAGGGAAATACCACCTATTTATCCAGTTCTGACAGTAAAAGGGTCCATACCTAAACCTTCTTTAGAATGCTATCAGTTGTCCTGATTTACATCCCCACAAGGCAGACAAGTGAACAATTTCTATGTATTTGGAAATTCTGTATCAAGGAGAAGGGCAATGGGTTTCCCCACTACACAGGACAGGCAGACAGAAGTCACAACACTCACCTGCACGATGATATTTGCTAGCTCTCAGGACCAGGTCTGGCACTGGGCCACCAATAAACACCACAGAGCCATCTCCCAACACCTCCTGCACCTCAAGGTCAAGGACCATTCCTGGGGTCATTTCAGCCAGTGTCTGGATCAACACAGAGTCTGTCAGATGCAAAGGCAACAGGGATCAGTAGGAGCAACAACTCTTACCCCTCTTCCTTGTAAGGGAGCAGCTGTCACCAGGAAGGACTGTGGAGCACTTCTGTCAGGATCAAAGCACTGTCCAGTTTCCACGAAAACTTTGTCAGACACAAAGACTTATGTCCTGGCCATAAACTGTGAAAATAGTCAGTAAATACCAAAAGCACAAGCTATCCTTTGGTTTCTGAATTTCCATTCTTAGTATTTAGAACCTACCTTCTCAAGCCTCTTACACTCAAATCTTCATCAGGGTTCCCACAATCCCACAATGGTTCAAAGTCTAAGAGGGTCAGAATAACAGGTTCTTGTTCCCTTTTATCATCCTACAGATACTGTTGAATAAAGGAATGGCAAATGAACTAAATGAATTCCCAACAAATGCAGACCTGAGGCCATAGAAATAATGAAAGTTTGGATTCTGGACTAGAAGAGGAACAAGGGCAACTTGGGGGAATGCTGGCAGACCTTCATCTGAATCTGGGGAGTAAACAAGGGTGCTCATTTGTCACTTAATGATCTATGCACTTTATATATGCTATGGAGGCAGTGGTGTCATGGCTTCTGTCTGCCCACCCTGCCACCCTGGAGAGGGTTTCCAAGGAGTGGCTGGTGAGTTTGAGCCGCTGATCTTGGTGCTGATCCTACAGCGTCACACCAGGACCTCCTATATATGTATGTCATACTTCCATGAAACAAAAGTTAGCAAAAAACATTTTTTTAAATAAAAATTCTGGGGTCTAACAGTTTATCCCACTAACAGGCTCAAGTTAAACCCACACCCCTACCATCCCTCCTCCTCTGCCCGCCTGCCTCGGCAGCCAGGACCTGGGCCATCCCACCTCGGCTGCTCATGAGGCTGCGCACACCCTGCAGCTCCTCCAGACACTGGCTCAGGAGGACGAGGCTGGTAGTAGTCACGTCCCCCAGACTGCAGTCCGACAGCCGCAATGACAGCAGCATTCGCTGCTTCTCCTCATCCACGTTCGTCACCTTGGCAACTACTGTCTGCCCCTCAACAAAGTGGTCACTCGTGGAGGTCACAAATTTGTCACTCATGACCTGAAGGGAAGAGTGGGCAGAAAATGGGCAAAGGAAAGGAAGTACTCTGTTCTCTTCCTCATGACCCCATCCTCTCCCTCAGAGGGCCTTTGAGGAGGCACATGGCTGAACTTACAGCTTTCGGGGCCAGTCCACTGAGACCTGAGGGGAACTGGACAAACACACCATAGTCCTTGATGCTCTTCACAAACCCCATAAGCAGCATGCCAGGATGGATTTCTGAGAAGGTCTTGGGATCCTGGCCACCTTCTACTGTCGAAACCAAGGCTGGCTTCCTGCAAAGGAGCTAGTGGCACTTCATCAAGGGATGTTCACGAATGGCAGATGCCCACTGCTCCCATCATCACTGTCCACTCTATTCACCTGTGCTACTATAATAATTTTTTTTTCTTTCTTTCTTTCTGTGTGTGGTCCCCAGACCCACAGCATCACCTTCACCTGGAACTTGTTAAAAATGCAAATTCTCAAGCACCACCACACCTCAATGCCCTCAAGTCTATTCCAACTGACAGCAACCCTGGAGCAAGAGCAGAGCTGTCCCAGGGCTTCCAAGGTTGTAATCTTTACAGAAGCACACTGTCGCCATGCTCTGCCCTGAAGAGGCTGGTGGGTTTGAACGGATGATTTCATCAGTTGTGCACTTTCCTGCTACACCACCAGGGTTGCTTTAGCTCCCCAATCCTACTGAATTAGAAACTCGGGGTGGGGGGTGTGTGTGAAGAGGCTGAGCCCAGCAATCTAGGGGTGGTTAACAGGCCTTTCAGGTGATTCTGATTTAAAAAAACTAGTTTCAGAATCACCTTTTTAGTCCTTTCCTTAACCTGGCTGTAGATTACTGGAGGGGACCAAAAAGGGAATGGCTTGGTCCTGTGGTTTGACAGCTGAATCAGCTAGGACCCAATCCTCCATGCCCCCCACCACACACTGATCAACCCCTTTTCACCTCCTTGCCCATCTTCACTCTACAAAGGTTCTGCTTCATGCTTTGTGAGGAAAGAGGGTTAACGTGCTAGTTCCAAGTGCTCACACTAAGACCAAAGGGGGTATCTTTGAGTCCCATGCTCTTACAGGATAGGGAGGAAGGAAGGCAGTGTAACGTCATTCATTGTTCCAAGTTCAAGGGCAAGCACAGGCAGTCCCAGCAGCCTAGAGATGCTCCTGGAGTATCCTACTGGGCCTGCATGCCACAGCACCTCACCCACCACCCGGGGCAGTAGTTACAACCGGGCTCCCACTCTTCTGCTGCATTTCCACTCACGAGGCCCTGACTACCAGCATCTACTGGCAGCGCTACCTCAATCCTGCTCTATTGCCCACTAGGGAATGCTCTGGAAAGCAGACGTAGTCACTGGTTTGCTTTTATGGGGTGATTCTGTGCTCAAATGACTATTTTTGTTGTGTCTCCCACCTCCAAGGAAGAGCAGAGACTGACCTGGACTTCCCACTTGCGAGCCCATGACATATCACCCTCCCACCTTCCGCTGCTCCAGATGCCAATAAAGGATACAACACGGCCCTCACTCCGCAGACATAGGACCCTGTGGAGGGTGTCACCGGTCTGGAGCCAATGATACAGCAATGGGCCATTGGCAACATGGTCTGACAGGTGAGGTGTGGGGAGGAGAGCAGGGATGTTGTGGGGTAGCACAGTCACCTCCAGCCCATCTTTGGTCTTCTCTACAACCTTCACATCCACCAACTGCCCAGGGAAGAGAAAGACACAAAATACCACATGCTTTGAGCAGGAAGCAATCTAGTCTGGATCTGGCAGAGCTCAGAGACATCAAACTCCAAAAACAGGAATCATGGCAAGACCAAGATCAGACAGACACACAGGAATGCTCAAGTCTGAGGGCCTCTCTCAAGAAAGCTTCCAGCCCCAGAATCTTATCCCTTCGTGGGTTACCTGGCTCTCTGCCACTGTGACATGAAAGAACTTGCCTGGAGATGTCCCGATAAGTACCTGCCCAACATGCACGGCTCTTCTTTTCTTCTGACTCCCTTCCTCATGTTCTTTCTTTGCTTCTGGATCACTCACCAACTTGAAGGATAAGAGCATCCTCTCGTTGACTGGCTCACAGTTCAGCACAGTGACCTTCACCACCTGGGGAGAAAGCCACACATGCTTAGCTGACTGCCCAGAAGGTCCTCAGGCCCCTGGAGTGTGGCGCCCTCCCTCTCTCCCTCCCTCCCTCAGTGCTGCAGCAGGCCTGGCAGATCCACCACACCTCGAATGGGAACAGAAAGGAAGGAAAAGAGACGCACAGAAGGTTACACAGAATTCCTGTAAATCAACCTTATGGACAAAAGGGTAACATGAATCATTTTTTGGTACAACCACAATTTTCTTTAAAATTATTTTCCTGGGCAAGTCAATTCTCCAGCTTTACAGCACTGCCCCCTGGTGGTGACAGTGGCCACAGAACAAGCTCTGAAGTCACTATTCCCGTTATTAATGGTAACGACCAATTTCTTCCCAGTCATGGGCCTAAGTCCATTAAGTTGTCAGCATCCACGGATCCCTCTGAGGGTCTCTCTCTTCTCTGTTCTGCATCCCCTCTCCTTAGATGGCTCAGGCCCACTGCCCCGCATGCTCTCTATTCATTCCCTTAGAAAGAGCTCTCCTACTTCTTCAAGTCTGTGTTCATGGGGTCTCCAAGGATGGGGGCCTTTCCAGGGGGAGGGTTACCTGGCCAGGGTAAAAGACTGTCTCTGGGGCAGAGATATACTCGGCACTCAGCTCATGCTTGGGTACCAGTCCCTGCACATCATTATAGAACTTGACAATACAGCCACAGTCCTTGACTCTGAGGATGAAGCCATGTGTCTGCAGACCGGGCTTGGCATCAGTATAGCTGGTAATGGCAGGCTGTCTGGACTCCACCAGGGTTTTCTTCAGGGTCATCATCAATTTCTTGGCTTGAGGGTCGCAAACCAAAACCTAAATGGAAAGACACTGTTGTTGTTAAGTGCCATCGAGTCAGTTCTGACTCATAGTGACCCTATATAGGGTTTCCAAGGAGTGCCTGGTGAGTTTGAACCACCGACCTTGTAATTCAAACTGACCTTGCGGTCCAGTGCTTTATCCCACAACGCCACAGCAGGACTCCAATGGAAGGATACCAGCCACCATCAAGTTACCCATTTATCATGAGATCCATGGAGCTGATCTCTACAGTCCATGGAGCCCCAAAGTCCTGGAACGTTTCCATAGAACCCACTGTCTCTTCTGAGAACAACTTCAAGTTACAGATCCTCCACACTTCTTGCTAGATGACAAGCTAGAGAACATGAATCTCTATTCCAAATGTTCCTCCCCCAGGAAGTCACTAGAAACGTCCCCTTCCTGGCCCAGCAGCAGCATTCACTGTCTTACAGCACCACCAGTCTTGTGTTGCAGCTTCTTCTACATGGCCTTAACTGCCTCCTAGGTGACCGTGTATGTAGTCTAACAGATTGAATGACAGAAGCAACTCACCACCTCAATACTGGTATTTGTTATCTGTGAATGAAGAGAACTAACTATCCCTTAGAAAGGTATCTCCTTGAAGTCAAGAGGACCTCCTCTATTTACCATACTGAATCTTGACAACCCTGTGAAGCTTCTCTTGGGATCCAATACTTTGTCATAAATCACCTCCACTTTGGCAGCTTTGTTTGGCTTATTTCTGGGTCTGAAACACAAACCCTGCTCCTCCCCAACCTTCCTAATCCTATCCATCCTTTGTCCATTCCACCTCTGCCAGCAATCTACAAGGCATTCTTGTCTGATAGACCTGAATTGAAACTGGCTCTGCCACTTCCTAGCTACAAAATGAAGCTAAAAATACCTACTTTAGTGGGAAGTTTTAAGGATTAAATGAGATGATGAAGGTCATGTGCCTAGCAGTCACATGGCACTTGCTAGGAATATCATCATTGCTATGATTCTTGCTGCTGAACTCTCCCTCACCTCCCCTTTCTGAAACATAATCAAGCAGACATTTGCACTACGTCCAGGTGGCAGAAGTCACACACTGACTTGCTTTCCCTTTGTGCATGCCTATTGTGATCCCTAAGGAGCTCTGGTAGCGTAGTGCTTACGAATCGGGCTGCGAACCTTAAGGTCAGTAGGTTCGAAACTACCAGCCGCTCCGCGGGAGAAAGATGAGGCTTTCTACTCCCGTAAGGATTTACATCCTCGGAAACCCTGTACAGGGTCGCTATGGGTTGGAACCGACTCGACGGCACTCAACAACAACAACAACAACATTGTGATCCCTAACTTAAACACATAATTCTCATGAGCAGGAAGACTCATGTTTTCCCTTCTCAAAGCCAGGCACAGTACTGGACACACAGCAGACATTAAGTGCTCACTCTGTGGCAAAAGGCAAAAACCCCCGTTGAGAAGCATTGCTCTCTTCCCTCTGGCCAAAATCCCAAGACCACACCTTGATTGGTCAGGAGGCTCACCCGGCACTTGACTTCATCCCCAATGTGGTACTTCTTCTCTGGATTTTTAATCAGGACGTCAGCCAGATGCATGGAAGGTACCAGGCCCCTGATTTGCTCGCCCACCTTCACCAGCATTCCATATGGCTTTAAGGTCAGCACTTTGCCCTAGGGAGTTCAAAGACAAGGCGCCATGACGCTTCAAAAAATGGTCTTTCCTCCATCTCTTACATCAATGCATGTCACACCTCTCAAAACCCCTCCTCCTGGGTTAACTGTGCCTGCTATTCCAGGTCTCCTATGGACAAGGCACAACCACACACTGATCTAGAAGCACAAAGGCTTATTTATGGGAACAATCACATCTCTTTGTGTGAACGTGTATTTGTCTGCCTTACAAGAGCATTTCCTAAAGGAATAGTGACTATGTCTCCTATGGAATGAATAATCAATTAGGGCTAAATGGTTCAAACTGGTTTCTTACTAATATTCCATGTACATCAATGAACACAGAACTTTTAGCCTGGTTTAATAACCACTTTCAAATTCCAGGATTTATGGTCTACTGATTCTGTATAGTTGAGTGGTGCTAATAAAACCTTACCTTAAAATTAATTATAAGTTATCCAAGGGAGGAGAAAAAAATTCTAGCTAGCAGGCAAAGAGGCAAGGGTATCACTTTAAATATGTCAACATGTGGGCAAAACTGTGAAGAATGCCTCAAGGTGAAGAGTATCTACCTGTACACATGAGGTCTTACCTTTATCACTGACCCTGGTTTGATGTCATAATAGCTAAGGTACGGAGCTTGAATGATGGATCTAAAGCAAAAGGAAAACATAAGATTAAATAAATGAGAACAGAGGCTAAAATTCAGAGCTACCAAAAATGATGCTATCAACAAAGGAAATCCTCACAAAGCAAGGCCAGGCAAGACTGTGACCGTGCCAGGATCATGCCAGACCACACCCCTCATCCCAAGCCCCTCTCCAGCCACCATGTGTTAACAACAGACTTACGTTCGCAAAGAGAGAAATGTGAGTTCATCCATTGGGCTGTAATCGATAACTCGACACTTGTGAGTGCTCCCAGGCTTAAAGATTTCAGGCTTGAGGACGTTTTTAGAATCAGAGAGATGGCTGAACTACAAAATACCAAGTTGATTAAAACACAAGCTAGAGGCAACAGATTCGAGTAATAATAAAACACATGGAGATGACTCAATGTTTGCCATCTATCCTAAAAGTGCCTGCTAGAATAATTCCTCTAATTAAAAATCAATCAATCAGTTACTCTTTATGATCATAGAATCTTTATAAAGTTAGAAAGTAGTATGGACCAGGGGTTGGTGAACTGCAGCCCATGATCTGATATGGATTTCTGTAACTGAAGTTTTATTGAACCATAGTCAAATCGATTCACTTAAGTATTGTCTATTACTGGCTTCACGCTACAATAGAGTTGAGTAAGTTACAAGATCCTTTATCTCACAAGCTTGAAACATGTACTATCCAAGCCCCAAGCCCCGATCTAGACCCTAAGTTACTCTTGCACATACTAACAACCAGATATCAAACGTGGCACATTGATTGAAAGGCATTCTAATAAATAAAAACTATTCTATCGAGGCAGAGCCTGAAGAGGGGAAATAATACTAAGATGCTGGACTGTCTTATGAATGTTGGTTACCCTTGTCTACTATTGTAAAATTGACACTTGAGTGATAGAAAGAAATGTCAGGAAACATGATTACAGAAAGCTTGTAAGCCTGTCTTCAGCCTATAAGTGACTGGAATACCTAAAAGGGGTTCTAGAACTTGTCCAGTGAAATAGGCCTCTTGCGGAGCCTTTGCAGCGTATAGGACCTTAGGTGGAATCCTGATCCCCATCCGGAACCTTCTGAGGTGGGACATATCCACTAGAAAGTACAAGAATATCAGCCTGGAACAGCTAGAGCAACAGAAGTTATATCTTCAAAGAAAGATCAGGGAAAACCCAAAACAAAAATGACAGTATGACTGGCTACTACAAGAATAAGCAAGTTGTTCACCAGGAAGCCATCAAGGCAAGAAATCAAGTCCCTTCAGGACAAACTCCCCTCTAAGACTGAAACTCAAAGGGAACACACAAACAAGCATGTAAACTTGCTGGCGACCACATTGGGCTACTGGTGAGTGGAAGAAGGGGAAAGGCAGCAATGAAGAAATGGGCTGAGTTCAACCACATTCCATTGACACCCGTTGACCTGGAGATGAGAGAGAGAAGAGGAAGGGCTGGTTGATCCAAAGTGTAGTGAGACCTGGGACACCTGAGCCCATGGACAAGGATATAACCACAGAGGGCTAGAGCTGAGAGTGAAGCATCAAGCTGATAAGAGGTGAGGAGAGACAGAAGAACACCCAAACTTGCAGATAGTACCCATTTGACCTAGCCTCAATGGCTTGATAATCAGAACCTGATTAAAGGAAGATAAAAAACAATTTTTGATAAAGGAAATGAGGGTAAATTGCTACAATTTGATGAACTTGACCTATACTCATGGAGGTAGTAGCTCTAAATATCAACAGAGAGGGAAGGAGTCTTCTCATCAAGTATCAGTGTTATTCCCTCTGTATATAGGGTAGACAGGGACAGGCAACTTAGACATTGGCTACCTAAAATGAGGGGTGATAAAGCACAAGTGACTGGCTTACAAGGTTTCAAGAGGGAGTTTAGTTTAAGAGTGTGTGAGGGAAGACAGAGTCCCCACTGAATACTTTTCGTCTTGTCTAGATGGATCTGGTAAAAAGAGATGGGAATAAGATTCTTATGATTCAATAGTGAGTAATTGTTATCATGATTAATTGCGACTGTCACAATTGTAAAGGTCAAAGTTTTGTAACCAAAATAGGGGATTAGTTAACCTTACAGTCCAGAAATAGAGGACCCTAGGACCATCAAGGGAGAAGAGCACAAGCGGAATGCGGGACCCTATCCAGAGAAGCAGCGCCACCAGAGATGGAGGCAGAGATGGGGACATGAAAAGAGGGAGCAGCTGAGGACTCTAGATTCATGGAAAGAGAGGCACTGAGAGCTGGCAGCCAGGAAGCAGACTTGCAGAATGTGCCCTTTGGTGGTGTAAATTATTATATGTGCCTGAATGTTTAAAAAAAAAGAGCTAAAATAAATAGAAATACTATTAACTGATGTTACATGGAGGGGATTATAATCATTGTAATGAAACAAAGTATATGATTTGTTGAATGTAAAACTAATGACCTGCCCTATAAACTTTCACTCAATGCAGAATAAAAACTTTAAAAAAAAAAACAAAACAAAACGATCTAATCCTGAAGAATAGTCTGTCAAAATTAGGGACATCCAAAAGTTGGAAACTAATACAAGGTGTTGAAGGAAACAGACAAGGACCTAGGTGCCCGGAAAGTCCCTGAACAAAAAAGTAGCTTCTTCACCCGGGCATAGGCCAGCGCCCCATCCTTCAGCTTGAACGTGGCCCCAGACTTGCTGAAAAAGCCATGGACAGGAACATCATCCAGCACAGCTCCATGATGCTGACAGGAGAGCCGGGTGAGTGGGCGCCCAGGTTGCAGGAAGACAGGGTGCAGGCTCAGTCGTACAACTCTGCTCTGAGGATGGACGAAGAGGATGCAGGCCTTTACCTGGACAAGGGAACGGGCAGAATGAACAGGAGGAGGCACCCAGGAGGTCAGATTCCCTGGACCCAACCTTCATGTGTTAAGCAGCTTACATACACACATTCAAACAAAATGTCCCAGAGAGACTGTGTCTCACAGTGTCAATACTTAAATGAACATAGTCACTCATAAGAGGTTCGCTGGAAACATACTCCAGGAACAAATCTGGTCTGATCACAAGGTAAGCACACAAAACAACTACTGGAAGGGAAAAAAATGGCTACAAAGAGGCTCACCCAACTGTGAAAATATTATCACAAGGTGTTGAGAAAACAGAAAGAAGTCACTGTAAGGTTAAAAAATTGTTTTCTGAATGGCATATATTGACATTTTCTTATTAAATATCCATGTTTACTATAGAAAATGTAAACACAGAGATACGAATAAGAAATCACCTGCAGTTCATTACTATTAGCATTTGGTTGTACAATCTTTCATCATTTTAAACATATATATTGTTGTTATGTGCTGTGCAGGTTCCGACATGTAAAGCTTGTTTTTAATTCCAAAATTGGGTCCATAGCACTTTTAAAATCATCTATCTATTTAAAAAGGTTATCTTATTCTCCTGTTTTAAATAGTCTTCCAACACATTTTAAATTATAAAAGTAAAAGATTCACTACTATGGAAAAAATTTAAACTATAACCTTGTGCTCCCCTTCCTTCACCTCCTCTCTGCACGCTGGTACACATTCAGTTGTTGCGCATGCCCTGTGCTAGCTATGATACTGAGCAGCTGGTTGAAATACAACTAGAATCAAGACAGAGGTAGGCACAACACTTCTTACTGCTTGGTTTGAGAAATACGATCCAGTTTTCTTGGGTTCCAGGTGCATAAAGTCAACTAGACCCGAGAAGAATGAGAGGAAGTTTACTGTAAGGCCAAATGGAGTCACCTAGAAATAAACAGAACAGGAAGTTATTTTAAAAAATCTCTCTGAAGGAACCAGAAATGAGAGAGACACTGTCCACACTACACTTGCAAAGGGGAAACACATTAGCCTGATTAACTGTGCCTCTTCTCTTGTAAAATTAAGTGGTAGGATAACGTCACTATTAACTGGCTGTTTCGCTGCCCAGTGAGCTCACCTCCCTTAAAGCCTAACAGAAGCTAGTAATCATCCTACTGTTTAGGATTCTCAAAGAGTGCAGGGCACTTTGCACAGCTGTTCTCAGGGAATTACCAGTCTGACACCAACTTGTATAAATTGCTGCTAACTTAGTTGTTTGCCCAGGCTAAGAAGGCAAAATCCAAATGCTTGAGAGAAGAGTTATACTGACCAAGAGCAAGTCAATTCACCCTACAAACTCCCAAAAAGCTAAGGAATTGATAGTGACGTGGACCTCAAAAGGGCGACTGAAATCAGAGAAAGTGAAAGTCTGATTACAAAGTAGTCGGCTCGCTGCTCCTCTCCCTCAAACTCCCACCTCTACCCATCTCTCAAAAAAAATGAGATTCATTCACTAGGAATGCGGTAAGGGTATGAACATGAGAATTGTATAATGAGACATCCAGCCCCTTTCTTCCATCTAGCTTTCAAGATTCAGGAAGTCAAGTGTATAGCTTCCTAGAAGATACGTGGGGTCCTGGTGTCGTGCTGCAGGATAAGTACTGGACTGCTAACTGCAAGATCAGCGGTTCAAAGTCACCAGTCACTCCTTGGTCTATTTGAACAGCTGCCTCTTGGTCTATGTACAGGTTCCTCATGAGTACAATTAATGCTCATTCTCCGCGATGTTGTCCATAGTTTGTCATGATCCACACAATTGAAAGCCAATAAAGGAGCTCTGGTAGCGTAGTGGTTACGAATCGGGCTGCGAACCTTAAGGTCAGCGGTTCGAAACTACCAGCTGCTCCG